TCTGCTGACTAGACCCTTTATGTTTCAACTTTTATCTGTGTTAAGTAGGTATTCTATGGTTTACATGTATGTAATTCTTAGATACCTTCTTGAAGTCTATAATGATAGAAGTCAAAACTGGTGCATAAATAAGCTTGTAGAATATTAGGTAACAGTTCTTGCCATGGAAATAATTAAAATGTATAGAAAGACTATCTTGGCTGGTCACCACATTCGATTGAGCGATATTATTATAGTTTGCTGACAATAGTAATAATGTAAGGCATCAATCTATAGGCATGGCAATTCTTAGCAGAACACAGTGAAAACAAACTGCTTTGCTTACAATGAAGTATGCCCTCAGCAGAGCACTACAAATGTTATGCTGCTGACCTCCTCAAAATCCATAAGTTATCCAGAGCACGGACAAACCTTCAGGAAGTCTTTGAAAATATAGATCAAATTCCAGTACAACTGCTTTCTCCAAATTCTGCACTTCTGGAAATCTGTTCCCTCTTAAATTATGATAATGTCTCTGTTAGAGTCAGGTCTGTCAAACAGGAATATACCTGTGACCTGTGAGTCACTGTGTGCAAGGACCCTTAAAGTAAAAATATACACATTCAATTTACCTGGAGTTTCAAGCACAGATTCCAGACCTCAAGGACTCAGGTGCTAACCTTGGGCTGTTGCCATTCATTTCACCTCTGATGCTATTATGACAATGAATTTTCTTTGCTGGAAGCAATGACATATTTTAAATCAACATAAAAATCCAAATGATGGCTCTGTGTATTCAATGTAGTATTTATTCAGGAAGAAAACCAGACAAAATAAAGCTTTTCCTCTATCTCATATGGAGGTGTAGCTTGAAAAACTTCAGTAGTATCCTCAAGAAATTAAGTTACAGAAGTCAGAAACTGGCACAGTATGTTCTCAGCCAGTTAAACGCTACGTTATTTTAGCAAACATTTCTGCTGGCAGTTGTTAACCTCGAGCAACAGAAATACATGTTTGCAGAGGAGTAAAGAGCAACTAGGGAATCTATTTATTCACTCCCATAAAAGTTTTCTTAACTGATATGCAGAGCTACGCTTTCAGAATTAATTATAAACCAAGCTCATTTTAAGTGTCACCTTTGTCGGTTGACTTAAGTTTTGTTTCTGAAAATGAGATTAACAGCATCCAACTATTAGTTGGTTTACAAATGATAGGCAAAATTAGTAGTTTTATTAGCATAAAACTATGCTTGACTTCTGCAATTTTCAGAGAATAAAGGACCTTTATGAGCTCTTCTCTTGGGGGAAATGTTTTTAAAATTCAGTAACGGACGTATGGTGTAAGAATATTCAGTTCAAAGGAAGAAACAAAACCAGACAGAAAAAACAGACTGGTTTATATAAGCGGTGTTCCTCCAGTATTGTAGGGGATTCATCCCAACATGCCCTTTGGTGCAGCACTAGTATTTTATAATGACTTCCTACAAGTTGTTTGTGATCTTGACCATCTCTGTCCGTTGCTCTTACGAAGACAGGCTCCGCGATACTGCACTTGTCAGAGTGTTTTTCTGTTTCCAGAAATGATTTGTTTCTCCTGTCAGGCCCAGTACACTGTCTTTCTCAAAGAGGCTCTTCTGGGTGGCCATCTGGAAGCATCACCTCAGTGCAAACAAGGCAGGCTGCTGGGTTTGTGTTGGCTCACTTCTTCTCAGTACTGGCTACTGCCCTGAAGGCAGCATTAAATTTTATTCCTGGACTACACAGCATTATGACTAGATGTGCAGACATGACATTTTGATTGCTAAATTCTGGGCGAATTGATGTTTGTGATGACTCAGAGAAAGACCCAGGAAAAAAGGATAAAGATGCAGAGGAAGGAACCAGCTGAGGACAGAGAGAATGATACAGGACTCCAGAATTGAGTAAGCACATGGAGGTGTGATACCATACCTGGAATGCAGCACTGAGAGCCCTCACATGCAGTGTTTTGGAAGAAAAATTTGAAAGATCACTGGATTTTAAAGGAAGAAATGAGCTGAAGAGCAATCAGAAGCCAGAACCGAGGTGCTAAAAGCAGACATGCCCAAACCATGGAGAAATTAGGTTTCAAGAGATCTGAAATGCAGGCCTTTATATAAGTCAGAAAACATTGCAGAAAATGGAAGTGGTAAGAAACAGGGGCAAAATCGGAAGAATCCTCCCTGGATCTAAGAGAAATAGGAGGATCAATAAGAAAATAGGAAAATTTACTTACTTTAATTAATATTAAAGTCTTTTTCTGCCTTTCTTCATAATTAAATTGTAAAACATGGCTGTATTTTTTCCTTGCCACGTATGGTGTTTAGATATAAATCATCTATGGGTTCATGACTACACTGCAGTGTAACTAATGACATGAAAGTCTGTAGACTTGGGAGGAGGCAGCATTTATAATAAAAAAGATCATCTTGGTGAAAGCAATACTAAAATTGTTTCTATTATAATATTACAACTTTTATGCCTCTTCATGTTACTGTGCTTTAAGAATGTGTATGATTCTCTCTAGGTATAAGAATCATGAATCATTGCATTTCCCAAGTACATCCCTGGAGAACAGTCTCAAATGCAGACATTTGAGAGTTCCCAGATTACCTGTTGGAGCTGGACAGTCTGATTCATAGTCCTTCATGGATAAATTATTAGCTTTCCTAAAATGGCATTTAAATATCTTGCTTCAGAAATCAGTTGGAGGTATTCTGGTGTAAATTTAGGGTAGTCCAACATACAGGGGTTAAGCACTACCTGGGTTTAAAAGCAGATGAAGAAATGTTTCTTTTTTTTTCTTTCTTCCTTTTTTTTTTTAAAAAAAAAAAAAAATAGCTGTGTTACTTTGCTGTTTATCTATCTAATTTAGTAACTGTAAAAGTTAGCACTCTCACCAGAATTATCATTGGCTAAAACTATTGCATCTAGAGTAAGTGTTAAGAAAGACCTGGTGATGAACAAGTAGGGTAGTATCCAAGGATGGAATATTCCTACTTGTAGGGATGAGTAGGAACCCTTGGTTTCATTTCACAGATACAATCTACTCTTTGAAGGGAGGAAAAAAACACAGAGCCTTTCAGTTACCAGCTACCTGTTCTTTCACACTACTGTGAATCTCTCAGACTTCAAAAAATTAAAAATTAGTTTGAAAAAGCAGAGATGGTTTTTGACTATTCCAAATAGATGGCTTAGGAGAAAGACACAACTTTTACTGCTGACAATAAATGTTAAAAAGTTAACCAATCTGAGTGTGGAAAGGAGTAAACAAAATTTTCTCTTCATTTAATTGTGCAACATAAACTAAACATTCTTCATTAAATTACTATCAAAATGCAATAAGAGCAAATATAAAATTGTTTTTGCTATGCATATTTGTAAGTCAGTAAGTGCAGTTGTACCAACAGTGTGGAGAATGGAGACCTTAGAAGAAATCACTGATCATTCTTTCTTCCCCAGTCATTTGCTGGTGCTATTCCTTCAGTGCTGCCACAGAAGCTAATGGAATTTTTGCTACACATTTTAAATTGAGTACATGAAGCTCTTTGTGTTATAATGAAGGAAGATACACTGAAGTTTTTGAAGTTACTTTTTCCTTCTAAATGTAAAATGCTCTATTTACCTGGTCCTGTATCTGATCCTATTAAATAGGAAAAAATCCTATTTAAATCAGCCATTTATATGTTACAGTGTAGTCTTTTAAAAAATACATCAGAGAAATGTATTTTTTCCCATAAGACTATGATATATATTAAAAAAAAAACAACCCTACATTAACTCCACTGTGTTTAGTTTCACTACTTCATTTCTCTTAGCTAAATCTCAGCGAAGAGGATGATTTTTCCCAATGACTAGGTGATTTTTTTTTTTTTTTTAAAGAGAACTTCCAGTAAAGATAAGCTTCTAAAAATCAGTTACCCATGACAAGGGATGCTAGATATTTAATGCAGCTCCTGTAGATCGGAAGCATGGGTCCGTACTGAATGTTCCCCGGAAACCCACAGTGTGTGTGGAAATGCCGCTGCTGCCGGGTTTATCCCACGCCAGCCCCGACCCCCGCCGGGATCCGGGGCTGTTGAGCGGGAGGCAGCCGTGAGCCCGCTGCAGCCATTTACCGGGGGGGTTCTGCCATCTAGTGGAAAATACACAGCTGGCACCCACCACACCAACATCCCAAACCCCTTTGTTTACAGGCTGGCTGCGCAAATGCTGTATTTAACCCGCCAGAAAGAAAACAAAACAAAAACAAAACAAAAACCAAACCAACAAACAAAAACCCACAAACAAACAAAAAAACCCAAACAAACAAACAAACAAACAAAAAAAAACACAACCAACCAACCAACACCACCAAACCACACCACCCAAAGAACCGCAATCAAAAGCGCCAAACAAATAAATATTTCCACTTTTAGTAGAGTTGCTCTTCAGCTTGATATATTGCAAAATATTGCCTCCAATTTATTCTTAGCCACACTGGCTACTCCTTATTCATTCTCATGAACATCCTCGTCTCTTCAGTTGTATTAAATAAATTACTTCTGGAAGACATCAAAAGCTGCCACATCATAGGGATAGATTTAACATAAAGAATACAAATCCAACCTTGCTTCTTACATTTATGTGTGCTATATACGGCAGCTTCCCATAGGGGTTACCCCACACCCTCTGCCTCCTGCATTCAAGTCCTAACGGCACAAGGGCCTGCCACTTCTGCTTCAGATGACGGAGGAGGTCTTTTACGTCACTTTTATGTCAAAAATGTGCCCTTTTTTTCCCTGCTCTCTGCATGGTCAGAGTGAGGGGAGGAGCCGGGGCAGGCTGGTCAGTCGGTCCCTCTTCCTCTCTCAGGCATAACAGAGCCCGGCCCTGAGTGCCGCGGGTTGTTAAACGAGACTCGTGGGGCAGGCAGCCGGGTGTCACCCCACAAGCGGCAGGGACACGCCACGGCGGCCCCACGCTGACGCGCCCGTGGCCACGGCTTGCCGCCCCCACGTCCGCGGCTGGCGGGCCGCAGGGCTGCCGCGGACTACATTTCCCAGGTGCCTGCGGGGCGAGCGGGGGGGGGGGGCGCGCCCGGCTTCATTCCCCGTCTCCGCTGGGGGCTGCTGGGAGCTGTAGTCAGGGGGGAAGTGGAAAGAAGATGGCGTCCAAGATTCACGTGGTGCTGCGGCCAGTGAAGAGTATCGTGGTCCGCTTCTGCCCCTTCGAGTCCAACGTGGAGAGCACGAGGTGAGTGGAGTACGCGGGGACATCGCCGGCCCCGGCCCCGCGGCGACCTGCGTGTGCTCCGGCCGGCGGGCCCGCGCCCGGCGGGGAGGCCTTGGCCGCTCACCCAACGTCCTTCCCGCGCCCGGGGCGTGGGTTTTGTACGTTTCACGGCAGGTGTGAGGGCTGGGCTTTCTGCCTTTAGTTATTTGGTGGGGGGGTAGGGGCAGGGGATGTGTGTGTGTGTGCGGTGCAGCCTGCTCCCCTCCGCCCGTGGAAGCGCAGGGAGGCCGCCCGCCCGCTGCCCGGGTCGAAGCGGCGGCAGAGGCGACGCGGAGCCGTTAGAGCTGCCGTGGCTGCGGTGCCCTGTGACTTGCTGTTCACTGCAGCCAGCAGAAGACATCCTGCGATCAAATCATGAGGGAAGGGGCAGCATCTGTTGTTACCGCCTCTGGAGAAAACCCTCTTTTCCCCAAACCCCTGTATCCGCTGTACTTTACCTGTTACGATGTTGGTCTTTGAAGGCTTGCGTTTGTCAGGGCTTTGTAGCTTAGTCTGGGCACAAACCTTTGGCGTTTTGGAATGAGACGGCGCTGTGTTTGCCGTAAGGGCTCCGTTCGTGGTACGTGTTACCGGGGTGCGCACAGCATTCATTCATTCTGTGAGGGGTTTCGGAGGATCTCTGTGCCTCAGTGTGGACCCTTGCACGCAGGCATGCAAATTTAGCTTTACCAAACTACCCAGGGAGATGCTCCTCTCGTTTGCTAAGCCTGTGGGTGAGGGTCTGTGACCACCAGTCCAAATGCTGGTAACGCGGGGAAGAGGGGGGCAACAGCTGCTGCTCTATCTTGGTAATCGGAGAAATCTAACTAATTAGCTTCTTGAGTGATGTAATTTCAGCACCAAACAATTGTAAAATGTCATTTTGCAATGGCTTTACAGACGCACCTACTTTTGAAATTAATTTAGTAACACAATTGAACTTAGAATGTCTTTAAGCTGACAGAATGTCAAGTAGCTGTCATGCATTTCAGAAATCTACAGGAGACCGATGATGTCAAATAAATAAATGCTGTCTAAAACCCAAACAATAAAACATTGGCAAACAACTGGTGTATAAGGAAAAATAAAAATGACTTTGTTGATTTTTTTTTTTTTTTTTTTTTTTTTTACTAAACCTGCTGAGAGAAATGTAGAAAGTGCATACACTGAATTTTTGCAAAATTATTTGGTGTGGTTTTTACACATTAGCTTAAAAGAACTATCCATTTGGATTTTTAAGAGTGATTATTTCACAAGAAGTACCTGTCTGAAGTTATTAAACAGAAATCCTATTTTGTTTACATTTCTGTTGCCCAGCAATATCAAGATACTCAAATTAGTTATAGAAATATACTTACAGTAATTTATATCTACAACATACTTAATATATTTTCAAATATATTTTCAGAAAATTTCTTGGATATATAAACCATAAAAAAATCCAGGCCACTAACAGAAACTGTGAAGTGACTGCTGACGTGAGACATGATGGGTCTGAACCACTTGTAGATGTAATGTTTGGTAAGAAGCTAATTTTTAATCTTGACAAAAAAAAAAGATCTGCATTTGTGATGTTTTGATGTTATAGTCTTCTTGATGATTTTTTTTTTTTTTTTTTTTACCATGGGGCTCTTTTTTTGTTTGTTTGGTTTGGTTTGGTTTGTTTTTTTGTGGGTTTTTGGTTTTGTTTTGTTGGGTTTTTTTTGGTTCTGGTCCATAGCTAGATGTTGTACAGCTGGAAGGAAAAGAGGAAGAGGGAATCACTAACAGCCTGATGTCTAGATAAATGTGTATGTTTGTCTTTGTACTATAGTTAGATCTGATGGGTCTTAGATCAAAGAAATCACTTAACTTTAAGGTTGAGGCTCCTTTTATAGTGACATACTTGTGTGACCTTTCAGTCATGTACAATTCCAGGGAAGTAAGTGTAGTTCTATTTTGATGTAAGAATCAGTTCATTTTCTGCAATTTTTTAATGTTATCTGTGGTGGAGGCAATTCAGTCTTGAGAACAGAAAAGTTGAATACCTCTAGTTGCTTATGCAACTGGGTAACTTACTGTGCAGTTCGAAGGAACTGCTCATATGGATAAGACCATACCACGTGCAGATGGACTTGCAGAATGAGGTCAACTGATGTACAACAAATTTCTTGGTTTTCTTTGAGGGTATAGTGAGCAGGCAGAGAATTAATGGTGGAAATTTCATCAGTTCTGGAAGCAGCCCAGATTTTAGACTGTGAACAGATGGCTCTAATCTGCTTTTGTCCTTTTCTCTGGCTGCATCTTCTTTCCTGCTGTGCTGTAATGGACCAATATATCATGTAGCCCATTAAAGTTTTCATTATTATTGATTCTTGCTACCCCCTTTTCTTTAAACTTCCATATATTTAGTGAATTGGTAGAAATGTCAAGAGTGTTGAATGTACTTCATTTTGCTTAGGAAAGTCTAGTTATTTCAGTGTTAACATAGCTTGTTTCTCCCTCCCCCATGCCTCTGTCTTTCCCATCCTTGTCTGTAACTGTGATGTATTAAGACTTAAGAAGTAAAGCGTAAGGTTTTCCACAGCATAAAACCAAAACAATTTATTTCACTAGTGCCAAGAGCTACAGCTCTGAACTTCTTGTTTTCTGTGAGCTGATTATTTTCCAAGTGAAGAGTTTGTAGCTCTTGTAGTTGGCAAAAATGGGGCTGGAACTTGGATGCCATGCATGATATTGCACTATATGGGTTTGAATATGGCAAATCTTAGAAAAATAATTGACTTGGGTACAATACTTAACTTCTACTGCCTCTTCCCTGTTTTAAAATAATTTCAGAATTTTAGAAATCCTACTGCTCTCTTAATTTTTTTGCATTATAACTGCCAAATTATGTAAACCAATTTGTTGTCTTGGCTAAAGAAGTAAGCTAAATGGACCACAGACAACATGCTGCTAAAATGCTGAGCCATGTGTGGAAATTATGCCTTCCAGTGCCTTCTGTGCCTTCTGTTAGATGACTTGGAGGGCATAGTATGAGTCATTCTCATCAAATATGTGCTCTTACTGTAGGTATATCTAGACAAATGTTTCCAAGTTTTCACTAATGCAATACAGAAATGAAAATTACATGTGTATTGTGTGCAGCTTAATATATTTGTTTGTTGGTGGTGCATAATCAGATTCCTTGGTAAGTGGAGTACTTTGTAATCAGACAAGATGAACGAGGTAGTTGGATTTATATATACAGAACAGAACTGCACACTAAGTAAGCGTGACCTAGACTTTGTAACTTCTTAAAATTTTTTTTCCTTTACAGCTGATGGAGAGCGACTGATAATGAAGGGAGCCAACTTGACGACAGTAGAAATGCTGACAGCGTTGAAGTCCAGATGTAATGCAAAAGACCTTAAAGAGGAACAGAAAAGCAAAAAGAGTCCCTGAAGAACAGGGAAAGAACTGTGCTTGCATTTACATGTGTTAAAAACAGCAGGCTGCACATAAGGCTTTTCTCCTGTGCAACAAAATCTGACAGAGATGGCCAAAACACTGACCAGTTTAACATGCAGCAGAATTAACTATTTAAATGTTCTCTATCCCCACCTGAAGGAAAACATAGTGGATCAGCAAATCTTCTAACACTAGTGGGTCAGAGTGGCTTAAGATGCATGAATGCATCTTTCTAAGCAGCTGGCTCTGTCGTCTGCATGTTGGACTAATACCACATGTATTTGCATATAAATGTGAGCAATATGCATTAGCTATTAAATTAATATTACAGTAAAGACATCTCTTTGGACGTTATTTCCTACAAAATTTCTGTAGAGTGGAATGCAAAATATTATTAGAATGGTTACTATTTTTGAAAATTATTAAATACAAAAGTTTGAAGAAGACTTTGAAAGTACTCATCATTGACCTAGCTGAGGGACAGAGCAAGCTGCAAATACAGAGTAGATTTTGTAAAACAATGTTTATTATACATCTGCTGCCAAGTCCCTGCCCTTGTCTGTCTTTCTTTTTCAAGAAAGTGTGAAATGTGCTAAATGTAAATTTAGCTCGGTGATTAAAGTAACAAGGTAATGGGACTGTGAACATATAGTAGAGCTACTCATCCTGCATAAAAGTAGCTAAGTTTAGCTCAAAGGGAAAGGTAAGTTAGTTTTTTTTTGATAATTGGAGAAAAGGGCTATCTTTGAAGTTCTGTTTTGTAAAAATTTTGTAACTCAATTTTGGGAGATTTCATTAAATATTTTATAAAGATCAAAGGGAAAGCTTTATTTAGTGTTTTTAGCCCCATGTCCAACCCTATTATTTATTAAGGTAAGTGCTTAGGTGTCTCATCTGTATTGCAAAGCTCTGTGGGTTTGGGAGGGTTGATCTCACCTCAGGTTGTGCAGGTGAAGGTGTCCACTGCACACGTATTTCATGTGCATCAGTTTTGTTCTAGTTCCATTTGTAATGAAAATGTAATTAAAGTTCCAGTTTGGAGAATTGCAGGTGCAGTGCTATCGAGAGGCATTAGTTCTACTTGTCAGCAATCAGATGTCTGACTTCTATAAAGTTGTAGTACCTATATTTCCGAAGTTGATTTGGCAGCAGATTTAGGACACAAATCTGAAACTAGTTTTGCCTTTCTTTTGCCAAACTTTGTCAATGGACGCTGTCCTTTCTGAAAGCAACATTGTTTTACAAGGTAGTTCTTTGCAACTTCTTCAGCAGGATGCTGAAGTCCAGGTGATACCTTGCGTTGGAGAAGCAGAGCTGTGCTAAAGACATTTGATATTTTATGGTGGCTTCTTCCATGTGTTTGCGACAAATAGACTGAAATAAGATGATTGGGGCAGATGGGTCAATGAAATTTAGATGTAGGAACAACAGATGTAACTGACTTAGTCTGGGATGGATACCTTACCTGCAGTCTTACCCTTTCTTTTATTAGACCACCAACTCTTCTGAGCGGTTTCAGAGTGCTGAGCTCCTGAACCTGCTACTGAGCTCCCTTCTAGGGGAGGAGTTATGAGAACATTGGAAAGTGTTTGAAAGGCTTTTACATCCTGTCAAGCTAGAAGAGTATCCTAAAAAGTGGACCAACTAGAAATAAAGCTGAATGCAGGGGTTATGCGGCAACAGAAGAGTATTGTATGGCATGACTTTACTTGAAGAAGCCTTATGGGGAAAGAGAGAATTGTTCAAGGGGAGAAACTGCAGAATTATTCATTCCCGGGTTAATCATGTATTTGTATGTTCAAAATCTCTCTTCCTTAACATATCAGTGATTTTTTTTTCTTTGTTTGTTTTTTAGGTTTTTTTTCTTTTTTTCTTTTCGTTTGTACAATGATGTCAATGTGTGAAACTTGTGTTTAAATGTGAAGTACTTACATTCATCTTAAATAATTAGCCATCTTGTAAGTACATAAAAAGAGTAAAATGAGTTAAGTAATACTAGGTTTCTATAGTGTTTCTATTGGCCCAAGATTGGGGTTTGTGTTTATGAAGCGAAAAGGGAGTAAATGAAGATCCTAGTTCAGGTTTTTTATAGCCAAAGTAAATTCTTAGATAGGCATCTTGCTCTGTAAAGACATGCTCTTACTAGGTGCTTTCATTTCAACCCAGTGATGTTCAACCTTTTTGCTTAGGTTAGGCCAAAGACCTGAAACGTAGCCGTTGAGAGATGACTGACAATTCAGTGGATGAGGTGTTAGCTGATGCTGCTTTTGCTGTGTGTGCCAGTAGCTGCAATTTGCAGTGGTAAATCTCTGACATGTTTTGTGCATGAAAAAGAAGTAATGACTAGGATATGGATGTGTAAGATAAAAAGGTAAACATACAGGACAGAAAAATAAAGCTAAAAATGTGCGTTTTCAAGACTACAATATATTGAAGTGATACAAACAAGCAATATGGGCAAGGAGGTTCTCTAGTGATTATTATGCTAATACATAGAAAATTGCACTCACTGTACTATGTTGATAAAGGTGCAAATTTATTTTTCAAGTATGTTAAAGATAATCTGTAATGAATTTCTTCTCTATGCATTTAAATAACTTTGCTGCAAGCTGTTCATACAGTATCAATTTCTGCTGCTCTCTGATTGACTGAAACAAAGCCGAGCGACCTGCTGCTCTGACATCTTCCTGACATGCACAGTCCAGGGCTGGGGATGGTAGAGGGTATTAAGGTCAGTCATGCAGAACAAAGCGGCGCTGGGTGAGCATTGACTTTGCATGTTATTATTCTGTAGCCCACTAATCTTGATTGCTATACCCCACCAAAAATGTAAGCGCTTGCCTAAATATAAAAGGAACTGGAACAGGCCCTAAGAACACTAGGATTAGCTAAATACAAACACTGTGTCCATGTAAGGTGTCTGATAGCAAGTGATGACATTAAAATGTTTAGCTCTCTAATGCCTGGAGATGTAAAACAATGATTAGAATCATCTCAGACCCGTTTATCATACAAATACCTATTTATTGCTTCTTGTCACTGTGTAGGGAAAAGAGTCCTGAAACAGATGAACGTGCCATTGTCATGGCTTGAGCTCAGAGGGCGGCTGAGCACCATGCAGCCTGGGGAGGGAATTGGAGGGGTGAAGGGGGATTCGTAGTTAGAGATTAAAACAATTTAATAATTGAAATAAAACAATAGCAGTAATAGAAAGCACAAGCAGATAATGCACAAGGCAACTCCTCACCACCTGCTGACCGATACCCAACCTGCTCCCGGCTAGCGATCCCGAAATACCAATATACCGCAGTTGCAAAGCCAGAAGCAAGAGAGAACCCCCCCCCACCTTCCCAGCCAGCCTTCCTTTATATACTGAGCATGATGTTGCACGACATGGATTATTTTATTGGCTAATTTGGGTCCAGTGCTCGGGCCGTGCTCCCTCCCAGCTTGTACTCCTGCGCAGGGGCAGGGCTTGGGGAGTTGGAAAGTCCTTGATGTCTCAGCAACAACTGAAAACATCAGTGTATAGTCAGCATTCTTCTCATACCAAATCCCATGCTGAATCCAAAACACAGCATTATTCTAGCTACTAAGAAGAAAAATTAACTCTCCCAGCTGAAACCAGGAGAACCATTCAGATAACACTAGCTGCTCAGGGTACTCCCTTTTCAAATACCTGCAGCATTGTTTTCAGAAAAAGATAATGGTATCTTTTTTACATATTTCAATGGGGAGCAGCAGTGTTAGTGAATGTTTCTGTAGCACGTTTTAACTACTAGCTGGCCCAAGTAACTACAAAATTGCAATGTCCTGTTGCCTTTCTTATAAGGTAGAAACAAGTAGAAACATGCTGTCAGAGGTAGTTCATGCATGACAGTGCAAATTCTGTTGTTATTTGTGAGGATCTCAATTTGGGCAATTTTGTGCTACATATTGTAGGAAAACCTGGGTGCAGTACAGTATTGCTGTGCAAACCCCACTAGAGTGGAAGATGCTTTAAATCTCGATTATTTTGAAAATGCTGCAATCTAATACATTTTTGCTGTTTGTAAGCATGCAAAAGGTGTCATTGCCAATTTCAGAAAATTGCCCACAAGTATTTGCCCTGTTAGATGTGGAAGAATGTGTTAGTTTTGATTGGTCTTTTCTAGTTCTTTACTTCTAGTATATATGAGTTCTGAATGACCAAGGAGTTCATAGGGTGTAAGGAAGTGTGTCCCCCCCAAAAAAATTTCCATATCCTTGGATGGTATTTAACAGTTCTCAAGACTTTTGCTCCCGAATGTAACTTCTGCATGCATACTCTCCCTGTGCAGGTGTACGCACCCCTTACAGTTTAAGAATTGCAATTTAAGAATTGCTGCCTTACTGCCCACCTTATCAGCTACGTGTGTGACCAGTTTCCCTGGATGCCGGGTCCTGCTTCTCTGCTGGGTCACCTTCAGACTGACAAGTCACTTATCAGCCCTGCGTGCCTCTCTTGACTGCACTTCCCTCCCCTCCCTTCTCATTCTCCTGGCTTAACAGCCTTTTTCCTTCCTGGTACTATTTGATCTCATCCAGTCTCACCTTTTCCCCCTGGAAGGCCTGAGTCACTCTTCTGAGCCTTTTTTATTGTCTGCCAAGAGCTTGTAGTAGCTTCAAGCAGCCAAGGTGCTTTGCTCCTGGTAGACCACTACTCGTTCTCTTCTTTTTGCTCAGCCTCGCTCTGTATGCTGAGAAATGTTGAGACAGAGCAGCATGAACAGTTAGAGGTGCTACTTTGCTTCTGATCATCATTAACAACAAATTGTTTTTACATTGAGCTGGCCTTCTCAAGATTTTACAGAACTAAGGCTGTGCCCGGAGATAGATGTTAGAGGCTTGAGGGCAAAGGAGTTGCCGGCCTGTTTTGATCATGTCTTGTTAAGTTTCAAAGTGGTACTTGAAAGCAGAGTTAAGGTGAGCGTAGAGACTCTGCTTGGCTTAAAGCAGTCACCCACGCACTGGCAGCCTTGCCAGCAGAGGTTACTAGCATATCAAAGGAGATCTCTGCATTGCACTTCACTGGATGAGGCGGTTTGGCTTGCTTACATATGAAAAGAACATTTCTTTCAAGACAAAATAGCTGGAAAAGTCCACCAGCAGACCTGTTTGTGAAGGAAATGCTCTGTCAGTAGGAGCAAAGCCTGGGAAAGAGGAGAGTCTGTGGACAGGTTTCACAACTGGGGCTGGCAGTCCCTGCAGGAAGTTCAGAGGACAGGCAGGAGGCAACGCAGCAGGTTCCTTCCTTACTCACGCACTACTACTCTTTCTTTTGACCCCTCCACCCTTTTTCAGCGAGGGGTCAAAGACCAGCCTTACTGTAAAAATACCATGGTCAGCATGCAAAGCCGGCAAATTTGTCATCTCAAACGCAGTTCTTGCACAGATTCACTGAATTGTCTTTTCACTACTGGTGAGTCTGAGTGGTTCAAATCACTCGCATGAATAAAATAAATGATAATTATTTTAACGGAATTTTTAAAGTCTGGGTGGGGCTTTATAGAACTTGTCTTTAAAACCTAATTCTTGAATTTCAAAGTATTTACTGGAAATGGCAAATTTAAGAATCGGATGATTAATTCTTCCTTTCCTTCACATAGCTAGATCGGCATCAAGTTAAGCTTCACACAAAAGAAAAAGAGCTAGAATCAGTACCAGAAACTATCTTGTATTGGGAGCATAGGAAAAAATCAGGGAACTGCAGTGTAATTTCTTACCTCCTTATAATTTTTCTCTGCCCTAAGTGTTAGATACGTAAGATCATATCTTGAAAAGGAATCAAGGATGTAGA